GCGAACAATGCCACCTTAGATGTGAGAATATCTGGAAGATCGTTAATGTAAATTAAAAAGAGTATAGGGCCAAGGATTGAACCTTGGGGAACCCCTGAGGTTACAGAATAAGAAAAAAAGTGCTGTCCATCAAGGACAACTTTTATACTACGATTGGAAAGGAAGGATTCAATAATCTTAAAGATGTTTCCAGATACACCATAAGAAGAAAGCTTATGGAGGAGACCAGCATGCCAAACTTTATCAAACGCTTTAGAAATGTCAAGAGCAATGGCCTTAACCTCTCCACCTTTATCTAATGCGCGATAAAACCTATCGGTTATTACTGATAGCAAATCAGCCGTAGAACGAGAAGATCGAAATCCATACTGATGATCAGAAAGTAGGTCATGAGATTCGAGATGAGAGATTAAGTGTTTGTTAATTAAAGATACAAAAACCTTGCTTATGATAGGAAGAAGACTAATGGGACGGTAGTTAGATGAGTCAGATCGCTCTCCAGAATTTTTAAAAATAGGGATAACAGATGCTGCTTTCCAGCAGGCTGGAAAACAAGACTCTGATAAGCACTTGTTGAATAGTTTTGAAAAGATAGACGACAGCTCAGGAGAACACTTCTGCAAGACTATAACAGGTATGTTGTCCGGGCCGCAAGCTGTAGAAGAGTCTAAGCGGGAAATCACTTTAGATACAGACGCTGGAGTGATACGAATGTCGAGCAATGGATCAACCTGTTTGACGGGTATATCAGGTAAAATGCAACTAGTGGCATCAAGAGATGATATTGATGAAAAGTTCTTGGCAAACAATTCAGCTTTGTCTTTAGGTGAGGTGACAAAGTCTGAACCGTACAAAAGTGGTGGAATTACAGACTTGCCCTTATTATTGATACTATTAAAGATTCTCCAGAAGTCACGAGAGCCTAATTTTTGTGATGAAATACGAGATTTCATGATCTGAGAATAGCGGGTTTTGGCGTTAGACAAAACCTTTTTACAATGGTTCCTAGCAGTAATAAAGAGACATCTGTTTTCTGGAGAATTGTTTTGCTGATAGATATGGAAGTAATGGTTTCGATTGGCAATTGCAGCAGCACAATGTGAGGAAAACCATGGAGAAGAGTGAGGCTTGACCTGGAATTGTCGAGAGGGAATAAAGGATTCCATGCCAGCCTGAATCCACGAAGTTATGTAAGAAGCACATTTGTCAACAGGGAGACGAAAGATTTCTACCCAGGGGCCATCACGAAGAAAGTCACGAAAAGAATCCCAGTCAGCTTTAAGGTAGTTGTAAGATGTACGATGATAGGGGGATTCTAATGGTAAAGAAGAATGAGATAATAGTTTTAGAGAGACCAAACCATGATCAGACGCACCTAAGGGTGAGTGTGATGAAACTGAACACTGACTAGGATCAAAAACAAGACATAAGTCAAGTAGAGAAGGTAAATGATTCAGGTTGTCTGGAAAGCGAGTTGGAAAGTTGACTATTTGAGTTAGGGATTGAGAAAGACAAAAGTTGTGGGCCTTAATGCCTGCAGAGTCACTGACACTAGAGCCAAGCCATTCAGTGTGATGAACACTAAAGTCACCGACAACAACAATATTGGCTGATGGATAAAGAATGAGGGCTTGGTCAATATAATCAGAAATAACATCAAGAAGAGTGCAGTCTTGGGATGAGGGAGAGCGATATAGAACAAAGAGAAAGGTGATAAAGTGAAGTGGTGCTAAACAAAAGCACATAAAAGAGTAGTCTGTGGATTCAAACCTAGTTTCCCGACAAATGGGTGAATTCTTACGAATGTAAATGCCCAGGCCAAGCATGTGACTATTGGAGTCTTTACAAATTAAAGGAAGATAACCATCAACACTAAGATCACAAGATGAGACAGCTGAACTCAAATTAGTCTCACAAAGAGCAAGCAGGTCTGGTGAACTTTGCAAGAGATTAGACTCAACAGAAGAAAAGTTACTTCGAAGGCCACGAATATTGGTGAATGATAGGTTTAGCGAACTTGGTGATGACTGTGGTTTTTTGTGTTTTATAGTTTTTGTTACTTTATTCATTTTTTAAATTTGTTAAAGAACTTGACTCGAAACATTGATAGTACTCAGTACACTGTTCTATAGCTCAAGCAATTGCCTCGTTTCCACTAATAAACCCTAAGCGGTAACAAAGGGCTCCAATGTGGCCTTGGCAATGCACACCAAAAGTACAAACAGGGACACCATCCATGCGCAACATGGCACTGTTAGTACTCTGATATTTTTCAGCTGTTGATGGAATCAGCCTCTCTGAGAGCTACCACAGAGTTCGGGAAACCTGACTACCAGCCAGCCTCAGAACCATAAAACTGAGTTTTAGAGCTGTACCCTCATTTGGAGATAATAGAATGAGTTGCCTAGTCATAAAAACAGAGACACAAGCAAAACCCATGAATCAAGTCAAGAAGATCCAGCGTTCAACATCCTAAACTGGAAACAATGTATTAAAAATACATCTGCGCCAGCCTAATAGATGACGATATATATATATATATATAATAAACGATATATTATATATATATATATATATATAATAAACGATATATTATATATATATATATATATATATATAATAAAGGATATATTATATATATATATATATATATATATATATATATATATATATATATATATATATATATATATATATATATATAATAAACGATATATAAATGATATATATATATATATATATATATATATATATATATATATATATATATATATATATATATATATATATAAATATAAATATATATATATATATATATATATATATATATATATATATATATACATATATATACATACACTTACTAAAGCATATTTTTATAAGCATTTGCTCACTTTTTTTGCTTACCCTAACCCATACTGCTTTTTTAAAAAAAGAAGAAAAAAACAAAGAATGATGAATGAAACGATTGCTGCCCTATCCCAAACCCTCACTCGATATACAGGGTTATTCAAGAAAAAAAATGTAAGCAGCGGTACCTCGCACACTGGCTTGATCAGTAAGATTATTTTCCTAAAAATAAGCCATATTTACCAAAAAACACACAATATTTTCTGAAAAAGCATAATTTTTTGAGAAAAAGCAATGTTTTTTGTAAAAAAAACACATCTAATTATGGTCAAAAACAGTCTAGAATAGCCCCTGATACATGTACTAAAATAAATGTACTATAAAATTGTCATTTAAAGTAATGAATCTAAAAATCACTTTAGTAATTAAATAAATACATCATTAGCATTTACTCTATAAGAGATATGCATACTAAAATACAAAGAATATTCAAGCCTTACACCTGCAACTTAAATTTATTATATTTTATATTAAATGACTAAATATATTACTAACTAAAAATGCTTTAAATTTATATTTCTGGAAGCTATTCTGATACAGTGAAGCACTTAAATTTTGAGAAAAATATGAAATAAAAATCTAGAATGATTTAACAACAATAGACAAAACATTACCTTTAAAGCAATAACTGTAGGCCTTCACTTTTTATTTATTTGTTGGAAATTGCCATTTTTATTTTTAATCCATACTATAGAGCATCACTTGATTCTATAGTATCAACAATAACTCACTATATATAGTCTTTTTACTTTCAAAATCTTTTAGTGAACTGATCAAAACTGTATGTTTTGTATTTAAATTTTATGTAAAACTGTATGTGAAGTTGTATGTAAAACTGATTTAGTTTTGCATACAATTTTCAAAATCTTTTAGTGAACTGATCAAATTTTTTCTAAAAATAATCAGAAACAATGAAGAAAAATGATAGCATATGTATTTATTTTATATAGATTTTTACTATTCTGCGTGACTATCCTGCATGAATATTATAAACAAATAAATTTAATAATGTATTCTAATTATAGTTGTAATTTCTGGGGTAATCTTTATAAATTTGTTTTTAAATTTTTTTTTAATGTTTACTTGTAGATAACCTAAATATTTTATTTATAAAGTTATTGTAATTAAATGTTAATAAAAATGTAAATTGTTATAAAAAGTCTTTAAAATGATGAGAAATTCATCGGTCTTATCATAAGGAAGCACTAGTGCTTAAGTAGTGCAATTTTAAAATTTACTATTTTTAAGCTACATATTTTAACAAGAACTTTTTCCCTGGCTTTGAAATGATCCATTTTATATATAACATGTTATGTGAGTGCACTTCCATAAACTTAAAATCACTCAAAATTGAACTAAGAATGCACAAAACTTGTGTCAAGAATCCTACTAAACATAGTCTCGTTCTAAGCAATCCAGGGGCCAAACAAAGCTCATGTAATTTTAAAATTAAAAAGAACAGAACAGTTTATATTAAAATGCCTGTTGAACTTTCTTCGCCCTGCAGGTGAAACTTCAGAACTTATTTTTGGAGATATATACAACGTTATAAATACAACGGGAATTTCCGTATTTAAAAAATTTAGCTACAAATACAAAAAATTTCCGTACATAATCGATGGATACATCGATGGATACATCGGTGGATACATGGTGGATACATCGATGGATACATCGATGGATACATCGATGGATACATTGATGGATACATCGATGGATACATCGATTCCGTACATAATCGATGGATACATACATAAATGGACATACGGTTACTTTCCGTTGAAATAACGGAAAAAATTTCCGTTTTTAACAGTGTATGCTAAAAGCAATATATTACATGAAAAGAAAATTTTAAGAGTAAATTAAAGTTTATTGTTTACTTGCTCAATCAATTATATGAAATATATAAAAAAATTACTTTAATGCTAACTATAAGCAAGCCATGAAAAATTGACATTACCATTTGTGAAAAAAAACTTGATATATTATCTGAAGGGCAAAAATTTGCAGTCTTTACTTGATGGAAACAAACCTTTAATGTTTAAAAAAAAAATTTAATGCTTTAATTTTAGTATTTATATTGATTTTAGGTTAAGTGGTCTTACGTTTTCTGGTTTGGGGTTGCTTCCAGCTAGTCCTTCAGAGTCAGAAGTTGTCAGCGTAAGTTACTCTGATGTAATGTGTTTGTTTATAATGATATAGAAAGTGAGTTTTAGTATGTATTTTTTTTTTGTTGACTATGTAGTAAATGTTTTAGTTTTATTTGCTGTGATTAATAATTCTGCAATTATTTGTTGTAATTAATAATTCCGCAATGACAATTAAAAGTTAATTTTATTTATCTCTACTTAACTTAAATTTACAAGTGGTATTACTTTTAAATATTGTTAAAGATTGAAATCTTTTCAGGAGTCAAGTTCCACATTGTTTTTGATTGGTGCTTATTCTCGATACAAAAGTCCTTATGTTTGGGTGAGTTCTTACATTTCAAAAACAAATATATATTTTTTATAATGATAAAATATTTTTATATAGACTTTTATCATTTAGATTCGTTCAAACCATCATCGAATTGTGTCATTCACTGATATTCGAACTTATCAAGACTTAGATGAAGTTAAGGACAGCCCTCTTAAACTTAAATCTATTTCTAATTGGCATCACAAAGGTAGTATTTCTGATTGCGGTCAGTAAACGTCACAAAGGTAGTTGAAAATAACAAATAAATTTCACTCTTCCTATTTAAAAAAAAAAAAAATTTGTTCAAAAAAATATTTTAAAATTCTAAATCCGTTTTTTTTTTATAACATCTAATATTAGTCACCTGTAAGTTTAACATTTTTCGCTTAGTGAATATTTTTCTGTTTCATAATTTAATAAGATATTAAAATGTTTAGATGCAAATTAAACAATAATTTTTTCCACATAAAAATAAAGAGCAAACTGAGTAGAAAATACAAATTGAGAGAACTTTCCCCATTTAGTACTTGCATAATTGAAAACTTGAATGTAAAACACTCAAAAAATGAAACCATAACTTAAAATCCTTGAGATATTTTTGAGATCATTGTTGTTTGCAATTTTAAACACTATTTACTGTGTGAATATCTTAAAAAAAAGTTTAACATAGTTATCTGAATTCTTTATTCTGAAGAAATATTAGTTATATTTTTAATATTTGACAAATTTAATAAGTTAATATTTTTATATATCGTCGGGGAAAGTGCAAATCCGCGTAACTTGCATTGGCTACTATATTTGAATATTAATAATTTTAACATCAAATATCGATTGTTGACATGACAAAAAACATAAATGTTACTTTTTATACTAAAATGAACTCAAAGTCTGTAGAAATAAAAAAAATATAAAGTTTTAAACTTCTCCAGTAAAAAAAATGTACTGTAGATATGCGGTTTTATCTAATGCTAGTTACGCGGTTTTGCACGATATCCCCGATGATATGTAATAAAGTAATAATTTATTCAAGTTAATAATTTATTCAAGTTAATATTATATATATATATATTATAGTTATAGTAAAATTATTAGGTAAATGTGATATAGTTGGTTTAGATTTAAAATTTACTACTTTAACTAAAGCAATTAAGAAAATCATGTGGAAATGCTTTAGCTTGCAATTGCTTAACCCATAAACTGTAAACATTACCTAAATGTCTTTGATCTTTTATAAAATGGGGGATATAAAAATTTTCAAGGAACTTAAGAATTTTTTTTTAAAGAAGAACTAGGGAAAGTAACAGCATCAAAATGAATTTTACTCCCTTCATCATGTTTTCTTTAATTATTTTCATTTGACACCAGTATGAAGATAGCAAATTTTACACAGTCACAGGCGTCAATAAAAGACACTTCAATAAAACACTTTCAACTGGAGGATAAATAATAAAAACAAAAAAAATTGAACCGATGTTTAGAATAAACACAGATTTTTTTTAAGGAACTTTTACACAATTCATACAATACAACAATACTTTTATTGTAAAAAAAAAAGGTTAACCAAAAATAAAAGATCTTCAATGAAACACTTCACCTTCTTATAAATATATAAACAGTATTGAATAACCAACAAAGTATTCAATAATAAGCTTTAAACTATAAAATTATTCACAATTAGCTTGTATTCTATAAATGTTATGCATAATTAGCTTGTATTCTATAAATGTTATACACAATTAGCTTGTATTCTATAAATTTTATACACAATTAGCTTGTAAATTATAAAAGTTATGCACAATTAGCTTGTGAATTGAGATTCAGATTTTCAACTGTTAATTTGCAATTATCAGCTATCTGCTGTAATTTACTGGACCATACTCCAAATTCATGAAAAACTTGTATTTTACCTGAATGCACAGCCAAAATCTTTTTTTTTTTTTTGCTATAGATTTGGTGCATTGAAAGATCATCAATCAAATCTTTATCAATCTCAAATGGTTTTTTTTCCAATAGTTATTATGGGAAGCTTTTAAATTACAAGAAGTAAACAAGGTCACAGTTCAATAGTTTACTTACTATATTTATTATTGGAGGTTGATTAACTATCCAGATCTTGAAAAAGATGTCGGTAATGATTTTCATTTCAATATAATCCAGGTTAACCTTCTATTGAGTATATTCTTTATTTATGTTATAGTCTTGCCAAATCTTCTAGTATTAGCAGCTGTGAAAGTAAACTTTAGATCTATATCAAGTGTGATCATTCTGCTATAGGTTTGACTATTATTTGGGCTTTTTTCAAGGTTTTTAGTAATATTATAGAAGACTATCTTGAAGGTACTTGAATATTATTTTAATGTTACTTTATCTTGTTTATTTACCAAAGTCTAATTTCTCTCGATTCGTTTTCCCATCAAAAAACAATTTTTAAATCTTTTCTGATGCATACATTTCTGATGGCCTTCTTTCTACTTACATAGGTCTTCTTTCTACATACATAGGTCTTCTTTCTACATACATAGGTCTTCTTTCTACATACATAGGTCTTCTTTCTACATACATAGGTCTTCTTTCTACATACATAGGTCTTCTTTCTACATACATAGGCCTTCTTTCTACATACATAGGCCTTCTTTCTACATACATAGGCCTTCTTTCTACATACATAGGCCTTCTTTCTACATACATAGGCCTTCTTTCTACATACATAGGCCTTCTTTCTACATACATAGGCCTTCTTTCTACACACATAGGCCTTCTTTCTACATACATAGGCTTTCTTTCTACATACATAGGTCTTCTATCTACATACATAGGCCTTCTTTCTGCATACATAGGTCTTCTTACTACATACATAGGGAATTCTTTTTTTCTAAAATTTTTTCATTGTTTTTTTTTTTCCTTGCGAATCTTGTGATGAACAATAATTAGTTTAATGTCTTTTAAAATCTCAATATTTATATGAATTGCAGAAGAGCAAGCAGCAGCTTCAAAACTTCAAAATTTTGAAATGTTTGTTTTCATAACAGAAATTTTCTTAAATTTTTTTCAAATCTTTTTTATTTTAGTTTCATTTTTAATTTCATTTCATAGTGGTACATTTTGCCAGCACTTCAGCAAAATTTTTGATTCTGTTGTGTCTTAAAACTATTTGTGTTTGAAGAGGAAAGTGATTACTGTTCGTGTTAGAAGAGGAAAGTTCATTTTAGAAGAGAATAGTGATTAATGTTCATTTTAGAAGAGGAAAGTGGTTACTGTTCGTGTTAGAAGAGGAAAGTGGTTACTGTTTGTGTTAGAAGAGAAAAGGGATTACTATTTGTGTTAGAAGAGGAAAGAGATTACTGTTCATTTAAGAAGAGGAAAGTGATTACTGTTCATTTAAGAAGAGGAAAGTGTATATTTTTCGTGTTAGTAGAGGAAAATAATTATTCTTTTTAGAAGAGTGATTAGTGCCTGTAAGTGATTACATGGTTTTTTTATTTATTTATTTTATTTTTTATTTATCATTTCAATGGTTATTTTTATTATTATTATTATTATTATTATTATTATTATTATTATAATACTCGGTCTTAGTATGAAGAAATTTGTTGCACAATTTGTTTATCTTCATTTTTTTTTTTTTTTTTTTTTTTGTAAATTCTTTCGTACTTTTGTTGTTTTCTCTTTCGTACTTTAGTTGTGTTCTCTTAATAATTTTACTGTTACATTGTATAGTCAGTCGAGCAAGTTTTTTTTTGTTGAGACATTTAGTAAACACTTGTTATTCCAATCTTTAATTGCTGAGTTTTGATAAACTTTATCGCTATTTTTTAACTTTATCAAGTTTTTTTTTAATTTGCAGAACAGTTACAGATGGGAGAGCATACATAACTTTAATTAATTATTAGATTGTTAATATTAACTTTCTTATAATGTGTAACAACCCAAATCAAAGTTAACTTATAGTAATAATTCTATTTGAATATTAGTTACCTTAACAATGGTAGACTTACTAATAATGAAATAAACTTACGAATCATTAGCAGGAGAAGTTCAAATAAAAAGTTTTATCAATCTAATGATATAAAATATTTTACAAACACTTACGCGTATGTCTTATTAACTAAGAAAACATTAAATGCCTTACAAAAAGGTAACTTTATAGACTTCAAAAAACTTAGTAAAATGTTTAATTGTTTATTTTTTTACAAATGGTTTATTAAATTATAAATATATTTATATACATCTTTTTTTAATAGAAAAGCTGTGAAGAGAAATAAAATTTTAGTTTTACTAACTAGATTAAAGACTTAGCTATCTGAAAATATTACTCTTTATTAAATTTAAAAGATATTTAAATATAATAAAGATATTTTTTGTTTGAACAGGACATTTACAATAAAGTTCAAAACAATAAAAAAACTAAAATTTTTTTGGTTATTTACTAACTTATGCATTTGTAAATTTTTCTATTATTTTTTGGTCTTTAGACCGAGAATTATTTAAACTTAATTTAAACATGCATATTTGGAATAATTAAATTGGATAACTTCCAAAAATTTGTTTAGATATTCATTTATGGGATATACTTTCAGATATTATCAGGTTAAATGTACAGCCAACACCTAAGAACCCTTTTGCGGTTGACTTTTCTTACTTTGATGCTCTGTCTCCAAACTATTTTTTACTTGCTACCGGTGCCATGGTGCACTTTTTAAACTGCGTTCTGACTTCTGGCGAGCACAGCTACAACGCAGATGGTAATGTTTGTTTGTGTTTTTATTTTATTTACAAAATGTCAATGAACTTATATTTATGATTTATTTTTTCTTGAACAAATTTTTTAATATGTGTGTGTTTTTAGTGACGGAAGATTTAAATGAAGTAATGCGAAGACATTTTATGTTGTTAAATACTATGGTCTCTAAAAACAGATAAAATTTATATATATATATATATATATATATATATATATATATATATATATATATATATATATATATATATATATATATATATATATATATATATATATATATATATATATCCTTTCCCCAAAAATATAAAAACTATTGTTATTATTGTATATTATTGTTATTATTATATTATATATCAATTTATTGTCCAATCAAAAGAAATTTATTTAATTTATGTAGTTCATATTTACATAAGTTTATACATAAATTATAGTAAAGTATCGTATATGATGCTCTTTTATTATTGTGTTATATTGTAGATATGTAGGTAATATATTAAATGTAATATATATATTTATGATGTATTTATTATTAAGAGTTTTTACTTTGTACTTTTAGTGATAGCTTTATTTACGAATTTTTTTTCTGTGTTTTTGCTAGTGTATCATTTTTGCCAAAACTTGTACTTGTGAAAATAAAAACGTCTTAAAATTATTAATTTGTAAATATAAACTCTTATTGACTTTTTTTATCCTATAATAGTTTAGAAAAAACTGATTAATAGATATCTTGAAATTTAAATAAGAACCCTGCTTAAATAACTGGGCAGATGGTATTTTAAAGAAGATTTTTAAGCTACCCATTTTTAGCTATAGGTATTTTACTGTACTCCTATAAAAAATTATGTAATATACTCAGAGGCGATTCTACAAATAAAATGAGGGGATGGGAAGGGGTGAATTCTTAAAAAGTATCGACTAATTTCTTTAAAAAAAAAAAGGTTCTTGTTTGCCGACTGCCAACTATAAATCCAATTTTACCGACTCTAGTGTCTAATATGCCGACTAATAAAACTCGTAAGGGGCGAAACACCCCCTCGGGACGATCATGCATATATACATACATAAAGCAAATGGTATAATTTTTCTCTTGAAATTAAATATATAACTTTTTTCATCATAAATTATCAAATGATTCAATCTTCCATTGATCAATTTCTTGGTAATTTTTGTTTAAATTCGTTTCTTTAAAAACTTTAAAGAAACCAGATCTAGTATATCTGCTCGAGGCCGAACAGTCGTAAATTGTTTTCACATGGCATTTGCTCTAGAGTATCTTGAGTTTTTTCAATAAAAACTCTTCGAAAAACAACAGGATTTTCAAAACTTGAAAGCCAACTCATTTTGACCACGAATATTTAAATTTTTTTTTTATTTTAATTAAAATTTTATTAACAATTTTTTCACTTTCAAATTTCTTTTGCACGAGAATAAAACAACCATCAACCAAGCCAATTAAGATTTGTTGCAACTTTTGTCAGCCATTATTGGAAACATTTTTTCCCTCGAACAACGAAGTGGGACAAAAAAATTGATCTGCTACTTCTCTCCCTTCATATTGTAAAAACCTCTAGAATATTTTGATGAATATTACGCGGTTTACGATTTTTTTAGGTTTTGAATAATAGTTTTTATTAATATGTGCTTAATTAATCGCTTGTCCTTCTTTACCCACACCTGTTCCACTTTACCAAAACCTGTCCTACTATATTCACATCTGTCCCACTTTACTCGCACTTGTCCCAATTTACCTACACCTGCCTTACTTTACTTACATCTGTCCCACTTTTCCCACACATGTCCTACTTTAACCACACCTGTTCCTCTTTACTCTGATGGCACAGTTTTATCAAAATCAAAAAAATATTTACTTTATTATAACCTGCTATTAATCTCAATGAATGGAATCAGTGCCCCAAATGAAAAATACAACTAATTGTTTTAAGCGGTTTTTAAATGAAAGAAAGAGAAACTTACAGTAGAAACACTTAATAATAATTTTATAGCTTTCATTATCTTTCGACAGAACTTTTAACAGTTTTTTTTTTAATGTCACAGTCAAACGTTTGTGATTAGATTTTAATTAATTAACCGCTTTTATTTTAATATAGATTCACTGTGCTAATTCAGTATAAACTTCTTGTACTAACAAATTAGAGATATTTAGGGCTAATTAAGTAGAGGACTCTTATACCACCATAATACGGGAGCCCAGTTCTAATTAAGTACAGAAGCCCTACATTTAATAAAAAGAATTCCTTGAACTATTTCAATATAAGCATCTGAGGCAAAAAAACTCAAAAATAAAAATAAGTATGAACTATAATGTAAAAGGCCATGATAAGATTTAAACTTTTTTTTACGGCTTATGGTTTTTGTTTTAATAAATTTAATTTTAAAAGTTTATAAAATTTGAGCTTGTGATTTAAAAAATTTCTGCACAAGGTCTGCAATCCATAATGTAAAACATGCATAGCATAATGTAAAATGGTAAAATATTAAATTTTTAGATTTTAATTTTATGATTTTAAAAAGTGTACCTAGAATCAGGAGACATTTATCTCTCGGCTAAGTATGTAAAATGTTTGTCAAAAGTTTAGTTTTTGATTTTTGAATTAAATTATTTATAAATCTTGTAATAAAAGTTAATATCATTTTAATAAATATTTTTTAATTACAAATCTTGTTTTGTTTTGTTTTAATGCAATCCAATAAAAAGTTTTCTTCACAAAAACTTTAATAAAATTTTTTAATGATGCTACAAGTGATTACTATATTAAGTGGTACATACTTGAAAAAATTATATAAAAAAAAATTATATAAAAAGTCAAAATAAAAAAATATTTAGAAAACCAGTTTTTTTTTTTTACAAAGTATTTTTTGGGAAATAATACGCAAATTATATAAGTTTTCCGTTCTCCTAAACATTTAACCATAAACATTTGCAAACTATTCACGGTACAATTCACGGGGCAATCAACGTTTTTTAACTTTAGTTAACAATCTTGAAATGCACTAAAATGTACTGGAGCTCACTCGGGAAATAATATTCTTGATCTTGTTCCTTCAAATATCATTTTCCCTATTAAGTACTATTTCTGTTGAGTATCCATTTATCCACAAGTGACCATAACTCCTTTTTTAAAAGACCTTTTTCATATAGTCCAAAACAAACTCTAAATCTTTATATGATTTCAAAAATATAGATAAAAAGAGTTTTATTAAGTTATTTATAAATCTTGTAATGAAACAATAAGTTAGGACTATAATTTTTCTATAGTTTTTACAGCTAAAGAGTATTGGAACTTTTTTTGTGATCACCTTCGTAAATGTATTGGTCGTTTTTTTTCAATCAAAACAATATACCATAAGAAAAAAAGTCGTTCTTATCCAAAGTATATTTATAAAATGGTAATTTGCAAATTATTTTTATGGAAAAGATACGAGCAGTTTTGAAATCGCTGAAGTTTTTAAAAGTGTTTTTACGGTAGATGACAGAAATTTGTCTAAAACAAATACTTTTGCTAATAAATACATTAAAATGGATTTTGCAGATTTTTCAGCAAAGATAGTTTGATTCTAGGAAAAAATCTCCCGTTAAAAAATCCCCCCGGAAAAAATCTCCCAGAAATAATCCCCCGAGAAAAAATCCCCCCGAGAAAAAATCCCCCCGGAAAATATCACCCAAAAAAAAAAAAAGTTATTTTTCACTTAAAAATTATCAATATGTAGTTATGTTTATTTCTTTATTTATTTTAAATATTTATATAAAATACTTCATTTTTCATCAAAATGTCAAGTTATGCGCTATTCCTCCAGTGCGGTAGCGAATGTGAAACCCTAACCCTAACCCTGACGAACTGCGAACTGGTAAAATGTGAACTTTTTTGCGAACCATCGTAGTTAATTTAGCGGTGTATTTTAAGGACTTTTAAGCGAAAAAATTATTAAAAAAAAAAAATTATTTATTTTAAACCTTTATTTAAAATTTATTTTAAATAAAGGTTTAAAATAGATTAAGAATTGGAGGATTTTTTTTTATTATTATTTATCATAAAAATAATGGTCTTTAAAATATGTTTTGTTTTGCAAAAAAGTTCGTATTTTTCCGGTTCGCAGTTCGCAGTTCGAATTTTACCGACAACCTAGGAATAGCGCATAAGTTGACATTTTGATAAAAAAATAAGTATTTTATAAAACTATTTAAATTAAATAAATATAACTATTTTATTGATAATTTTTAATAAAAAAAAAAAAAAAATTATGGGAATATTTTCCGAGGGGATTTTTTCTGTGGGGGATTTTTTCTCAGGGGGTTTTATCCGGGGGGATTTTTTCTCGGGGGATTATTTTGGGGGGACTTTTTCCCGGGTTTTTTTTTCCTGCTACCAGATAGTTTATCCAAAATTTAAAAAAAATAAAATCTAACACATCATATGGACCTGACGGTATAATTATATTAATAATATTAATTTAAAAAATAATAATAACAATAATATCTTTAATCATTAATAGAGCAAAAGTAACAGCAAAAATAATAGTATTTATAATAATTATAATAATAATAGTAATAATAAAAACGGCAGTAATGAAAGTAATAAGTATTAATGACAAAAACAACAAAGTTTCTATAGAAATAGCAAGAAAAAAAGAAAACTAAAAGAAGTTAACAATGACAAAAATTAAAATAAAATTTTTGTTATATTTGTTTAAATTTGTTTTGTTTTAACCTCTTATAGCCCTGGTTGCCTGTGGTCAACTTACCAAAAAATGGTTTGAAAACTTAATTTTATAAGGAAATGAATGCGGATATTTTTAGTTTAATATTCAACCAATCAAAATTTACTTACACTAAAGGCTATACTTAGAATCCTCAGGTTTATCAGTTTTTCAAATTTCACTAATTAACGTTTCGCGTGCTTGAAAATAAGGTCAGTTTTGATCCTTTGATTTTTAGAAATACAAAAAGATAGAGATCTTTTTGCAGCTCAAAAGATTTCTAAATTGTTTAATAACATATTTAATTTAATCTTATGCATATTTTTTTTCATTATCTTTGCATCAAACACGTTTTTAAATATAGTTTAAACTTTGCTTTAAAGCAACATTGCGCATATCTGCTTAAAAAGTCAAAACGCAACTTTTTGTTTGGAAACACGTTTTATTGACTTAATGCAACATTGCGCATAAATATAATTAAAAATAAATATCAATTATACCAAAATTGTCTAATAAACAATATTCTTGTAGGTATAATTTTATATTTATTTAGATAGATACTTTTAAATTTTATGGTTAAAAATCAAAAGCAGTTCCTTCAAGATCAATTTTGAATCCTGCAGTATCAGAGGAAAGTGGTTTATCTTCCAAAAGTGATGAATCAGTTGTACTAAGTGATTATAAATAAGATTATGAACTTACTAATTCGGAACTAGAAATAGAGATAGATGCTGAATCGGAACAAGAAACAGATTTGGATAACTCATTTTTGAACACTAATGACCAACTTTTTCCAATAGCAGACACTGGTCCAATGCAAAAAACGAGTGTTACATTAAAATCAAAAAAATCTAACCCATTGGAATGGAAAATAAAAGAGCCGTGTAATATTTCTGTCAAAAATATACCTTTCACTGGGATTCCACCTCTTGGAATACTGCCTATGCAGCAGCCAATAGAATATTTTCGAGATATAATAAGCTACGATATCATCACGCGCTTCGTCGAAGAAAGTAACCTGTACGCAGTCCAATTTGATACCAGTAAACTACTTAATCTTTCATTAGAAGAGTTGGAAGTATTTATTGGTATATATTTTTTAATGTCTATTGTGAAAATGCCTGGTACACGCGATTATTGGCATATATTTCTTCGATATGAGCATATAGCTATTGTTATGAACATTCGACGATTCGAACGTATAAAGAAGTTTTTGCATTGCAATAATAATTTAAATATGCCAGAAAACTGTCCAGACAAACTTTTTTAAATTCGTCCTTAAATAGATGGTTTGATAGAGCACTTTAACTTATTTGCTCCAACTGTAATGTTATGTATTGACGAGCAAGCTTCAAATCTTTCAAAGGAAGATCTAGACAAAAAGCATTATAATCCTAAAAAGCCTAAAAAGTGGGGCAAGCTTTTTATTCTCACAAATCCAGGAGGTCTTATTTACAATTTTCAAATCCATACAGGCTCTATTTCTGCATACATAGGTCAACCTAGTCTTCAAGCGTCAGGAAATATTGTTATGCAATTGCAACAAAATATTCCGAGACACAATGGACATAGTTACAGATAACTGGTATACAAGTGTTAAATTAGCAACTATATTATTAAACCAAGGAATCGCTTTAGTCGGAACTGTTCGCCCAAACAGGATCACTAGTTGCAAAATGTCAACTAACAACGATATGAAAAAGAAAAGAAGAGGCTCAGTTGAAATTAAAACTTGCCAAAATGATGGGGTTGAGCTTCGTGCAATTAAATGGTTTGATAACAGATTGTTAACATCCTTACTACCTATGAATCAGTAGTTCCAACAACTCAAGTAAGAAAATGGGATAAAAAAGAAAAAAGGAGATTTTGGTTGATTGTCCCTCTGCAGTTGTCACTTATAACAAATGCATGGGAGGTGTCCATCTCTAGAGATATTTGTATATTATATGTATATAATTGATACTATATGTATATAATTGATAACACTTTTTCGAACGAACAGGTATGCGATAGTAGCTCAATAGTCCATCTAAGAGCTCTTAGATGAACTATTGAGCTACTATCGCATTCCTGTTCGTTCGAAAAAATGGTATCATCAACTAATCTGGCATTTTCTTGGTGTTTCTGTAGTCCACGCATGGATAATATATAAAAAAGACTTAGCAAACGATAAAAAAAAAATAATGTCGTTAAAATCTTTCAAGTTGTCAATTGCCGAATCATTAATTATGCAAGGAAAAAGGTTTATTAAAAAAGTACGACCTTTACATCAGTTGATCTGATCTATAATGAGAAGAAGAAAAGAGATCCTGCAGTGCCAATTCCAAACAAACAAGAAATGATGGGTATGAACATTGGCTAGAGTACACAGATAAAATAGGGAGATGTAGATATCCCGGTTGTAATGGTTTCCCTAAGATAAAGTGTTCCAGGTGTGATGTTCGTCTCTGTTTAACGCCGACATCCAACTATTTTAAAACTTTCCATGAATCCTTAATTTCAAATACACTTCTCTTAATAAAATGTAAAATCAGAAAAGTTAAAAAACTTGAGCTTTTCATGTAAAATAATATTGTGTTAGAATAAAAAAGTTAGTACTTTATGCGTTCGTTATTGTCTGGAATCAATGAACCCCAAATTGGCCTTAAAAATATAAAAAATATGTTTTTTGAAATTTCATTAATATATTAAGATGATAAGTGACTAAAATTCAAAAAAGTATATTTTTTACACAACAAAAAAAAATAAAGTGGGCTACAAGAGGTTAAATAAAGAAATAAAAATAAATTATTTTAAAATTTTAACTTTTCTAACTCATTCACAATCCACATAAGACTTCGATTCCATTCACTGATGCACTGATGTGTAATTGAATACTTACCATACCTCAAAGTTTTATAGGGAGGTACATCTAGTTTTCCATTATTGATGTTCCTAGTTAATTGTGAATGTATAAATCGAGTTTCAGTGAAGAAGGTTATATTAGAGAAAGGTAAATTTTTATTAAGGGAGTCAAAAACAAAAAGAAGATTAGCAAATTTAACAAGTGCTGACAAGGTAGGAATTTTAAGTTTTTTGAAGAAGTTTTAAGTTTCTGTATTGTGGAGTTAAAAAAGCACATATATTCCGCTTTCGTATTGTATTCCAAGTATTCCGTATTGTATTTCATATACTCCGCTTTTATATTTTAAAAATAACTTGACGTATTTTTAAAAATAATTTGACGTATCCTTTTTAAAAAATAGGAAAAACCGAAGCTTGAAGCCACTGTTTTAATAACGTCGTCAAGCTCGTTACTAAAACAGTGGCTTCAAGCTTCGGTTTCCACTCCTTTTAAAAAAAGATCCACTTTAGATGCTAACAATTATAGAACTTTAGATGCTAACAATTATCTCCCTCACATCTACTAGCTGTCGCATCATTGAAAGTATTGTTAGTTCAAATATCGCTGATGATCTTATAATCTAATAAAAGTAATTTTTTTTATCCAAAAGATTTACGTGCGTGAGCCAACTAGGACTGGAAAAAAGCTTTAGATAGCAATTTATTTACTGATGTGGTGCACATTGATTTTCAAAAAGCATTTGAATCTGTAACTTATCCAAAACTTTTGGAAAAACTTCCAATGTACAGTATAATTGATAAAGTCCTTCTTTGAATATAAGCATTTCTTTCCAACAGATATCAAAGGGTTGGAAATTTACTATCCAATCCGAGTCCTTAGTGGAGTTCCACAGGGTAGCATTTTGAGTCCAAAGTTATTCTTATCTATATTAATATAATTAGGAGATCATAATTTAACCTAGTTTACATGTCCAAAAGATCTTGATGTGACAATGGATTTTTACATGAATTACAATAATCACATTGAAAATATCTTCCGTGCATCAAACATTCAAAAATGTTTAATTCTTAAGTGTTTTAAAAGTCGTGATCCACTTATTATCGTAAAAACCTACACTAACTACATTAGACCGATTTTAGAATATTGCTCTCGGGTTTGGTCACCAAACAACACTGAATTGAAAAAGCAGTGAAAAGTGTGCAAAGAAGTTTTACTAAGAGAATAGCCAACCTAAATAACCTTTCATACTTTAAAAGACTCAAAATTCTTGGTTTGGAACTGCAAGAAAATCATCGCCTTAAGCAAGACATGATAACAAGTTAAAAAATTCTGAACAATTTTGTTTGCCTAAGTATATCAAGTTTCTTTTTAATAAACAACAATGTTTACACTCGAGGTTATAAATTCAAATTACGCAAACTTAAGTGTAATCTCGATGTCCGTAAATACTCTTTCTAACTCGGGCTTGTTAATAGTTAGAAAAACCTGCTGTCTGACGTCGTTAATCCTAAAAATATCAAGAACTTCAAAATTAAAATTAACTGGTTCGCGTTCTGGCGCAGAACCCAGATGTCCGAGGTTTAACGCCAACTCTAGCCCAAGAAAGCGACATTGGTACGGAAGGAGACGTTAACTTCTTGTTAAATGCTCTCCGCGGTGCTCTGTGATAAGACCACAAGGACTTCTGGGAGCACCTAAATAACTACAAAAAAAAAAAAAAAAAAAAAAAAACTGTTCAGGCAAACTAATTTTTGTTTTGTAACTGTTATATTATATATAATAGTTTTATATATACATATAATATATACATATTATATATACATATTATATATATATATATATATATATATATATATATATATATATATATATATATATATATATATATATATATATATATATATATATATATATATATTATAAATTTTAAATTTTTTATATAAAATTGAAAATTTATAAATTTGCATACAAATAAGTTGTTAGCCTTCTTTCCACAATAAAAACATGATTAAAGTGAAATATATTATATTTTATTATTTGTACTTACAATTTATTTTTTAAATGTTATATTTTAAAGAAGTAAATCATATTTTCTTTTCTTTAAGTTTATCACAACTGGCAATAAATATTTTTGTTAATTTAGCTCATCAAAAAATCCTTTAAACGAGCTAAATTTTTGATAAATATAAGTAAGGCTACGTGAAATAATATTTTGAACTTATAATAAATTTCAATCTATTTTATGACTTGTTTAGATCAAAAAATAAAGAAATAAAAAATCAACAGTTTTTTTAGATGTAAACAAACTTCCTTGCTCGTGTTAAACTTCAAACGAAATTAAACCGTTACAGGTATTTTGACATAGATCTGTTTTTTCTCTTTCAACCCTCTTTTTATTCCATGTTTTTGTCACCAATTCTTTAAACAAGCTTTTTCCTAATGACGAGCTATTTAATAATGGTGTTTTATTTAATAATGGTTTGTTACTTGAAGACAATCTACCTAACGATTGCAATTCGTCGTTTAAATATGGTTGATCGTTTGTACATTCATTTTCTATAACTTTTTGAGTAACCTTGTGTTGATTTAAATTCAATTTTCTAACAAAATTAGAAGTGCCTGACTCCTCTTTTTGGTTTAATTGAAGAACTACTGTTTTAGAAGACAATATTTCTTGTGAATTTACGACAGAACTTAATTCTTTCTTTTTTCTTTTGAAATATTTAGTTTCAAATTTAGCTGCTGGTTGTTTCTGATTTACATGTCGAGTATTTAACATATAGCTTTGAAAAACAATTGGTGTCAAACTCAAATCTAAACAAAAGAAAATATTTTTAATTTTTACTAGATTATACTTTTTAAAATTTATTTAGAATCGAAAAAATAAAATTATATACGTGGAAATATACGCGGTGCAAAAAGAAAACACGTTTTTTTACTGTGTATCTTTTTCATTAAAAAAGTTCGAAAAAATGTTCTGAACAATATATATATATATATATATATATATATATATATATATATATATATATATATATATATATATATATATATATATATATATATATATATATATATATATATATATATATATATATATATATATATATATATATATATATATATATATATATATATATATATATATATATATATATTTTTGTATATATATAATGTTACTATATATAATATCAATATATATATATAATATCTGTAAAAAATTATAGATGAGTTATACAATAGTGAGCATATAAGTAGTGGCGTAGTGGTAGTGCGCTTGCCTTAGAAACGTAAGATTCAAACCCCACCTCTGGGCAAGTTATGCGACATTGGTTGGGAAGGAGGTGTAAACTTCTTATTAAATGCTCATACACGATGCTTTGTAATAAAACCGTAAGGACTTCTTGGGGCACCTAAAAAAATAAAGTTAAAAAAAATTACCTTTATCAGTGTCATTGGGATAAGAAATTGTGTTTAGGAAGCTAAACTCGTTATCAATGAATTCTCTAATATCATCATTTACAAAACTGCTATTACAATTTTTTTTAAAGTTATTTTCCATTATAGTATGTACCTTTGCTATTTAAAGTGTTTATTAAATAGTTTACCAGTTTTATTAAAGAATTTATTGGTAGCTTACGACGCGATTTGTTAAAATATGACGTGTTTGGAATTTCCTCCTTTTTAAAATTATTAACAACTCTTCAGAATGTTATAAAATATAGAAAACGGATACTTCAGACTATTTCAAACAAAAAGCCAAATTTTTTCAAATGGAAACTTTATTGGAAAGGTTCTTCTGAAAAATATAAAATTGACACAAAAAGAATATTTAAATTAAATAAATAATCAACTATAATACCATTTGTATCATAATTCAACTTGTCAACACCAGTCCTAGTTAGATTATAAATCCGAAAATTAATGCGAATGTGGTTGATAAAATATGTTATTATGACATAGTCATAATAACATATTTTATGACTTTGGTTAAGACAATGTCGCTAATACAAAATAACGATGATGAAATAAATATAAATAGTAACCAATTACATCATTATTTCACATCAATTTATTTGGAAAAAGAATAGAATCAAATAATGTTAAGTCAAATTATGTTGTATGTATAAAATACTTTGAGCAATAACAAACGGCTAGACTTATTTTTTTGAAATTAATACCCAAACTTAAGTATTTTTATCAAAAACTTGAAATTTTTCAGTGTTTAAATTTAAGCCCAAGTATTGTCTTTAGGAAGATAGTTTTAGTGTTAAATTCACACCGGAGTATTATCGTAATTTTTAAATCCAGACCGTAGTATTGTCTTCAAAATCAAAAATTATTTTGAGCGCAAATAATGTATTTCAATTTTAGGGAGGTGGTTGAGAAAATATTTTTTAGAGCATAAATCGGATTAACTTGAAAAGATTATGGAAATCTTTGTCAAAAATCTTAACTGAAGCAATTTTAAGTTAATCAAATGAAAAGAAAAAAACACAACCATCATTATAATTCAAAGAAACTTTTACTCTAATACCTCGTATATTCTACCCTACAAGTAGATATGAGTTACAGTGTGCCAAAAAACAATATTTAAAAAAATATATAAAAGTATAAGACCTTGCTGTCACCCACTTGATATGTTCTATATGATAAAAAAACGCTTGAATAAAAATTTTTTGAATAAATATTATTTCATAGGTCCCTCAAAACCAGGGTTGGCATTAAAAAACCCGCCCAAAAAAATCCGACTAAAAAATCCCAATAAAACCCTGGAAAATCTGGGTTTTATTGGGTTTTTTTAAAGATATTTATTAAGTTTATGAACTATTATAACCAACTTTAACATTATAACTATAATATTATTAAATTAAAATAATTATTAACTATTATTATTAACTAAATTATTACTAACTATTATTATTAACTATTATAACCAACAATAACAGCAGGTTTACTATTATTTGACAACAGTATCAGAGCAGGTTTACTATTATTTGAATCATTATTTGGAAATACATTATTACAATTTTTATTCAAATATTTTTATCGATTGAGATTTTTATTACTTTATGTTATTCACCTCCCAAGTTGAATTTAAATGAGTAGTAGTGACCAGAGAAGCCAACACAACAGTCGAGGAGGCTACCTTGTTGTGGTTACAATCCTCTCTCAACTCTTACGCGGTAGTGGTGTTGTTGTAGAGTGCTCGCTTCATAAGTGAGAGGTTCCGAGTTCGATCCCCACTACGTCTCTGGCAGTACCGCGCTTTACTCCTTTCTCCGCGCAGCAGCCTTGTTCGTCAAGGTTCGTGTTTTGGAGTTATAGAGTTGAGAGTTCGTCAAGGTTCGTGTTTTGGAGTTATAAAGTAGAGTTTGAGTAGTGGTCTTAAACCTTGAGGAGGTGAATTAATTAAAAAAAAACAAAAACAAGAAACTCTTTAACTACTAAACACGAATCTTTATAAACAAGGCCGCTGCGCAGAGAAACAAGTTTGTTCATTTGAATTTCAAGTTCAAAGTTTAATTGAAGCTTTAGTTACTATCTCCCATTCTCCAGCCTTATTTTTCCCATTTTCTCATTGACATTTTTAATTATATAGAATAATACTTTTAAAATTTAAAATAAATCAATACATATAGATTAAGCGTGAAATTTTTTTTCTATTAGAGCTTAAATTATATTTAAAAATCTTTTTCAAAATAATTTGAAAAATTCTTGTTATAAATAATTAAAAAACAATATATAAAATTTATTTTAAATAAAGTTAAAGTAGAAAATGAAACTAATTTTCAATATCATTAAACAAAAACACAAAAAAAATTTTTACAGGGACAAAATAAAAATTAAACCCAAATCTCCTGGCGATGCTGTCCATAAAATTTACCCACAAGCTTATATTAAGGTATTTGATCTGCGAATGTGTTGTGAACAAATGAAGAAACAAAACCCAAATTTACCCAATCAAACCCAATAAAACCCACTGGGCCGGGTTTTTTTAAAAAAACCCGGGTTTTTGCCAACCCTGCTCAAAACCCTCGAACATTTAACGAGAGTTCCTAATACTATCAAAAAAAAAGTTCATGATGGGTTTCAAATGAAGCAAAATTATATAAAAATTTTAAAAATTTTTATAAAATTTTTATAAAAGTTTAGTAATAGTTGCATCAGTGAGCTCCGGTGTGGTCCGGTGCGGTGTTCGTATACACCGTTAAATAATATATATAATAATAATGCATAAATATATGCAATATATAAGTTTAGCTAATCTAATTAGACATATATTATATGTCTAATTAGATTTACATACATGCCTAATTAGTTTAGCTAAACTTAAATATTCTATATACTTATATATTATTATTATATATATTATTTAACTTATAATATAACTTATAAATGTAAATTTAATTGAATTAAATATAAATTTAAATATATAAGTATGCAGGTATATAAATAATTAAATAAAAAAGAAATAGCTAAATAAATATTGTAATAAAGTAATGTACATTTGATTTTTGTATTTTTTTTAAGACCTACCTAAAAATGGTACGAAATTATATTTGCAAGTCACAACGTGGAAAAGTGTCAGAAGAAACAATGTTATTGGCAGTGATATAAGTCACAAAATATTAAAGATCAATTAGAGCAGTTAGTAGAGAATTTAATATATCACATAAAACTCTAGGAAGATATTGCATATCCAAAATGTTGCCATCTACACCTAATGCTTCGATTCAAACTGAAGAAGAACTTGATTGCCAAGTGATACTTTCAAATTCTAACAAAGATAACACACTTGAGTTTGATGTTACTGCAGCAGTACATAAGCCTAATACAGAACATACGCCTAATAACGCAGCTATAGAGAGAGATTTACTATCACCTAAGTTAGATAAAAAAACCTGGCACAAGTTTGGCTATGCCAAATGATTTCAGTTATTTCTATTTTCTCTAATTTGAATATAATTTAGTATTTTAACTTATTTAAACATTTAATTACTTCAATATAAAATACTGCTTTAATTTATTCTAAAATTTTGAATTTTTTTAGAGACTGGAACCGATACTTAATATGATTTTAATGTTTATGTCTTATGGTCAAATATATTTTATATTTCTTTGGGTATTTGAACCTGTGCAGAAAGTTTTGTTTGAAGAATACCTAATGAAAGCAAGTGATATTTACTTTGGTCTTTTTCCTAAAGAAGTTCGAAGGTTTGCTTATACATATGCTATTGCTTGCAGCAGGAAAACTCCTCACTCATGGATGGAACTTCAATCTGCTGGTAGTGATTGGTTTTCCGGATTCTTAAAGATATTCAAAGCTTTCTATTTGCTCTCCTCAATCAACAAGTTTTGCTCGGTGCACAAGTTTTAATAATCATAATGTAAATTTATTTTTTGACAACTTAAGCAATGTTTTGACTTGGTTAATATTAAGTGCTTCAGACATTTCGAACATTGATGAGACTAGAATCACAACAGTGCAGCGGCCTGATCGTATTGTTGCACGTATAGAATATAATTAGTGGTTTTCAGGCAACAGCTATTTATCCATTTAACAGAGATATTTTTTCAGAAAGTGATTTTTGCCTATTGAAAAAGCTCAGCCTAGAAAAAACAATGTAAATAAGCTCAGAAATAGGAAACGAATTTTTATTATATTAACTGATACACCAGTTAGAAATGCCTTGCAACAGGAACAGAAAGCAGCAAAAGAAAATATGGGTTCAAAAAATAAAAACTATTTTCTATCAAAGAAGCCGGTCTAAGTAACTCTAAAACAAGCAAGATTTTCGCCAGTCAACCTGTAAAAGAAAAATGCAACAAGAAAAACAAAGATGATAATGAGGAAGATGTCTCGTGTTTTAGTTGCTTTAAACAGTTTTCAAACAGCCTTCTAGGTACTGTGTAGAAACAGTGTTCAAGCAGTCAGAGTTGGGCCCATGCAAATTGTGTAGAAAAAGATGCAAAGGGGTTATAAGGGATTATAAATGTTTATACATTTGTTAAATAAAATGTTATTGTTATATTTTGTTAATACTCCATTTTTTTGTAGTTTATTATTTTAAAGTTGTTTCAATATTGTTTTATCAAGTTATAAAGTTGTTTGTTTCATCAAGTTGTAAAATTGATTTTGCTCAACGAGTTTTTTCCTACCTAGTTTGCCATTAGTTGTATGTGGGCCAACCTGCCCCAATCCTTGGGCCAACCTACTCCGATAATAGGGTAGGTTGGCCCACCCGACATGACCTAACAAAAACAGTTTTAAATATATTAAAAACCTATTATGAACTTTATCAATGTTTTTTTTGGGTAGTCTAGGGACCAGTCAACCTTTTTCCAAAAAACGAGTACCGTGAGTAGAGCGAATAAGTTAATATTTTTTGCAAATAAGCTAAAATTGTTTTTCAATATTTCTATAGAGCTTGATAAGCTCATTTTTAAAGATGTGTATATGGAAGTTGTATAAAGAAGTGTGAACATCACACTTTTAAATTGTGTACATGCCAACAATCATGCACGTCTTTCGAATATTTGCAAGAATTTCTTTTTTATTAAAATCAAAGTT